AAAAAAATAAAATTAATTTTAAAAAAAGGAAAATATCTTTATTTATAATTATAAAAAAAAATCTATTGTGGGAAGTTTTGGAAGAAGAAGGCAGGTTTAAAGAATAATATAAAATCTCTAGTTTTGCCACTCAAAAATAAAAATAACCATAGTTCATGCTTGTTTTCTTTCTAATATTTATGTTATATATGAAAAGAATATATGTATATTCCTATATATCCTTTAATACTATTATGGTCATATGAATATATGTAAATATACATATATACCTTTCCATCTATACTACTAGGATTGCATATATATTTCTGAAATTTTTGCACTTAACCTATAGTTTGGGTATTCATATTATTAAATATTTTATTAAAGCAGGATTTCAGGGGTTGCAATGAATTCTGGACTATCATTATTTCACAGTTTATTTGATCATTTTCTTTCTTTTTTTTTTTAATTTATTTGACAGATAGAGATCACAAGTATGCAGAGAGGCAGACAGAGACAGAGAGGAGGAAGCAGGCTCCCTGCTGAGCAGAGAGCCAGATGTAAGGCTCGATCCCAGGACCCTGAGATCACGACCTGAGCTGAAGGCAGAGGCTTAACCCACTGAGCCACCCAGGTGCCCCTTATTTGGTCATTTTCTTATTGCTGGACATTTATGTCTTCAATTTGCGACTCTTTGAAGTCATACTGTGATGGATAGCTTTGCCCACTCTTAAAAGTTCCCGAACAAGAAATCAGTGAAGCAAAGCATATGAATCATTTAAAGACTATTGATACATTGCTAAATTGCTATTGAGAAAGGTTTACCTTGTAACATAGCATGTTGCTATTAGGGTAGCTCCCATGACACGCTAGGCAGGTGAGACACGGGACCGAAACATCACAAACATACCTCCTTACTGTTGATGAATTATTCTTTTTGGTCTTGATATGCCCCATGAATGGGCTGGTTCATCCCCAAGTAGAGGCAAGAGCTTTCCATACCTAGCTTGCAGAAAGAATAAAAACACTTATTTAGGGAGAAAAAGATTCCATTTAAACCACAGTAAATGTTATATGAATATGTGGCATTATAAGTCTTCCTATTTTTCTTGTTGGTATTTCAATGTGTGTTTCTCAGCAGAGTACAGATTTCACAAAACTTTATTTTCTCTATTTAGTTGTGGGAGTGGCAGTAACACACAATACTGAAGATCAACTAAAAGTATGAAATTATGTCCAGATTCCAAGTTGTGGCTTCTGAGATCTAATTTTGCTAGGCCCACAGAGAGGGTTAATTACTAATAAGTAAATATGTTGGCAATAAATAATGAGAAACACATGCAACATAGCAACAAAGGGAAGATAGATTTTTTTTAGTGGGCTGTTTTCAATAAAATCTTACAATCTCGTTCTGTATGTTTTCGATAAGTTTTGCCTAAGATGAAAACATGTATTCAGCACTACTGACATCAGACTTTTGAAACACAGCTGCAGGCATGGTATTGTTTATAATTTCAATGAAACCTAAAATACATTTCCTTTCTGTTAAGGAAGATGTTGAGTGACAAGGGTAGGTTGGGATTTCACTCTTCAGTTGCCCTGATTTCTCTGGGTTCTCTCAAGATTGCCAGATAAACTGTGAGTGTGTGTGAGTGTATGTGTGTGTGAGGAAGGGAAACAGGAATTCCTTTCGGAAGAGTGACAATCAGTCTTGGCCTAACACTAGTTCAGGGCAGATGTTCCTAGCAGAAATCTGTGGAAGAAGATTATCAACACTGTCTGGTTGCCAGAAATCAGGCTCGCATTTCTTTCTGCCTTATTTTCAAAACGCAGATCCTGTTTAAGAAGAAAAGGAACAACACCCCGACTCCCAACTTCTCTCAACTCCTCTTCTACTCTATCACTTAGTGAAGAGAAACATAAACCACCTTACTTTTATTATGCCTAAAGTTTTCATTTAGGTGAACTGAGTCTATTTTAAATCTACTATAATATCTTCACAACCACAGTGAATTTTGGAAATCTAATCAAAGCTCTGAAAGGTAAGGGATGTCACAAGATTCCCTCAGATTTCCATACTATGACTAGATATTTAGTCCTGATCTAACAGACATGAAAATTCCTTATAATAAAAGTTCTTTATGGTTGGCCTCTTCATGGTTAATTTTGGTTTTATATTATATACATGTAGATCTTAAAATTAACAATATGCTGGTGTGGGCATGGGTTTCATTCTGTGATGAGTCCTTCTTTTTGAAAGATGTATTTTTCTAATAAACCATCTCCCTGCCTCCACAATCCTGGAATTGAAGTTACTTTGCTGTAAGAATGGATAACTTTATGCAGACTACATACTTTGGTTTTTATGACTTTATGGAAAAAAATCATTAAAATTCATTTTCTGTTGCATGTATTTTTGATCTATAGAAGGATTTAATCTATATATCTACAGCTCCAGTAATCACATACCTCCTTTTCTACACAGGGGAGGAGCAAGGACCTTGAAATTACAGTGCAGTTTACTAAAACAAATAGACATTTTGTTTTTCTATTGTTAAATCACCTCATTGTTTGAAAATTTAGACTGTCAGTTTATACTCTACTATAAAAAATTGCAAGAAAATGTTTTGCTTCCCTTTTTAGCCACGAGGAAAATGGTGGTATTCTCGGTAGAATAACAGTAGTTTTACAGAAGAGCTCAGCACAGAATTCTAATGCATCACTAACTTCTTTTCATAGCCTTTTTTTTTTTTTTTTTTTTTTTTTTGCTATTCTCACTATATTGTGAATACATTTATACTCATTTTGGCAAATACGCTTCAGCTGTATTTCTGTCCATCCTGTGGAATTAAGTTAAAGTTTCAGGATTCTCAAAGAAGGAAAAGTAGGAGTTGTCTTTAGGATAATATGTGAAAAAAATTATTTATTAAAAAAGCAAAAACAAAAACAAAAAAAATCCACCCAACTTGACAGCATTCTGGCCTTAACATTATGTAGCATTTTGAGGCACTGGACTTCATCAAAGGTAGAAGCATGTTGTTTTCTGATGTTCTTAAGAGAGACGTGAGGTTATGATAGTTTCAGAAATGGAAATGGGCTCTTTCTCAGATTTTCCATGTGTTGCTTCCACGCATGATCCAGCAACAATGTCTGCTGATTTCCCATTGGAGGAATAATGAGAGGTAGCACAACATGTGTGTAAGACAGTGGTGAATCTTCTATGGCTTATAAACCTTGACACCACAGTCATATGCTTCAGAGCAAAGAAGACTTTCTCTTCTGTGCATTTGGATTATTGTGCACCGTATACTGTGAATCTAAATAAAACACCTTCCAAACCTTAGTGAGAAATAAAGCCAGACTTTCAGTAAGAAATGGTCTCTATCTGTGTTTTCCCCATGTCTTAACTCTAGGTTGATCTTGATCTTTACTTGAATATGAATCAATGAAAGAATCAACCAATCAAATAACAATCAAACATGGCTACACTAATCACTTTCTTTTTGTTTCTTTGGCCAGTTAGTTGATTAAAAAGGAGAAAATGCAATGTTTAGATGATGAGAAATTAGTATAAGAAAGGATGGAAAATGTATGAAATATGTTTTAAGGTGATAATTATATATAGTTAAGCTACTTTTGGAAATTGCCATAAATTAATCATAGAGAAGTTATAAGTATTAAAATCACATTAAATGAAGAAAGGTGCTTAAAAGTATGAAGCAAGAGGGAACAAGAGGGGAAGATTGCTATTCTTCATGTGTTCAGGGGTTAGAATGGCCAACTGAATGCCTCACAATATTAACGTTATTTATTTCAAAAATTATTTTCTCACAGCATGTATACCTGAGTTTGTGTAAATGAAATGTGTGCATAGTTTCTTTTTAATTATATCAGCATATCTTTCAGCACTGTTTTTCAACTCCTCCAGCTCTGAATTCAGAACCACGCATTCTGGATTGTAGCTTACCTCTAATTATTTCATTTGGTTAATTTTCTTTTTTCATCTAGATTACAAATTCCTTTTAAGAAAAGTCTGTGTCCTATGTTTCTGTATCACCTAATGTTGGGCCCTCAGTAGGTAGTTTCTGCCCCCAAAATGGTGTTTTATGGTCAGATTAACCCTCAAATATTTGGTGGCATTCAAAAGACCTACTATTAAATAAGGAAATAGGGGCATCTGGGTGGCTCAGTTGGTTAGGCAACTGCCTTTGGCTCCAGTCATGATCCCAGGGTCCTGGGATCTAGTTCTGCATTGGTCTCCCTGCTCGTTGGGGAGTCTGCTTCTCCCTCTGACCTCTCCACTCTTATGCTCTCTCTCTCTCTCTCTCTAAGTAAATAAATAAATAAATAAAATCTTTTTTAAAAAAAGGAAATACATTTTATTTGTCTTTTAGATACCTTCTGCTTTATCGGGATTCCATTTTCTGTTATTCCCTTTTCTCTCTCTTTCCTGTCATCCCACACTCTTCAAATCCCATAATCCCAGTTTTAGAGATTCATTCACTCAACAGATAAGCATTAAGTGGCTTCCAAGTGTTTGGAACTATGCAAAGCAATGGATGGAGAGACACAGTTAATTACTTTTTATTCTTTCTAACGCATGTAATTGTTAAACAAAGGTCAGAGAAGCGTCCTTTTGCTTCTTATTTTAGACCTGCAGTATTCATGGAAAATGAATTAAAGCTTCTGTGAGATTCCATCGATATGCATCTAAATGCCTATGGGAAAATCAGAGGTCATCATTGCACCTTTGATCACTGTGTGGGTGGGTAGAGACAGGAGGGTGGAAGTTGTTATGAGACATCCGCATCCACAAGGATGGAGAGTTGCCAAAAGCTTAACTGGGTTCCCGCAGAGGCCAAGGTGAGCAGGAAACAGGTTGCAGGAGTGACGCAGGGGAAGCTGCTAAACTCCCTCACTTGACACAGAGCTTCAGAATTAATGGCCAACACCATCAAGAGAGAGTTTTAATGACCTTGAGAGGCCCTCATAAGGTTAATGAGCTTCTACTTTCCAGATTGGAACTGCCCTTAATGAATAGAATTGCCACCCACCCTAACAGGCTAAGGGTAGTAGAGTGTTGGTCCAGGAGAGTTTGAAGTTAAGCCAACAAAACTTCTGTTTTTTCTAATGACTGGCATTTTCTGCTATGAGGTATGATTTTGGACATGCAAGCACTTTGCAAATGAACAGATTTCACTATCAGGCTGCCCCATAAACCGATATTTTTCAATTCCATTGCTTAGAATTTTAAGGGGACATGCAATATTTATCTGTGTGTGACTACCAGATTTGCTTCTTTGGACTGGGAGAACCTAGAATTGAGAGGAAATGGAGAGAAAGGAGAGGGGAGGGGAGGGCGAGGGTGGGTGTGTGAGTAAAAAATGCAGAGATGTAAAGAAGACCAAGTGTGACAATACAAGTTTAGTAAGAAAATCCATGTCAAGAACAATTTAATGGGATGCTATCTGAGATAGAAGTGGCATTTTGACTTCCCTGGGCATCTGTAAAATGTGAAATAGATGATTTTGTTATTAAGAATACTGTGATTTCAAGATTCCTTTAAAGTTAAAAGTCTTGGAGGGCACGTTGGTGGCTCAGGTGGTTAAGCATCTGCCTTTGGCTCTGGTCATGATCTCAGGGTCCTGGGATCTGTGTGAATTTCAAACTCTCATGGAAGGCCAGAGACATCGCCAAGGGAAAACATCTTCCCTGAACATAGCACCGACCAATATGCTCAACCAAACAGTCACTGTGGTTAGCATGGTTTAATTCAAATGACACACATCTTTGCCAAATCTTGGCCAGACACCAATACTACAAGTTCCATGCTTTAATCTTTGCATTTAAAAAGCATGTAACACTAATTGACATTGATGTCTACTGAGGTTTTATTTCACTTTAAAATCTCAGATCATGGGATGTTTTTTATTACTGTTATATTTATTTTGGTGACTTCAATAAATAAAATGAAGGATGAGAGAACTTATGGGATTGCTAAG